GTTGCGACCTACGGGAGTAGGATAAAGGGGAAAGATGAAGTCTGTGAAAATCATATCTTACTCCTTACCAATATTATAAATGCGTAAGTTTGGATGGATGGATGGATATTTGTTAAAATTCGTAATCGAAACTGCTAAACACATTTCGAATATTTATGGTCATAGAGGTACTTTTGTTTTAGAATAAAGCATAAAGGGCATTAAAACCTAGACCGTAGAGTTTATAATTAGATATAAATTCTATTTATATGTTGAACTCACCATGTTTTAAATAATCCAGTTCCTCAGTCATCTTAGTGGCGAGCGCCTGCAGATAGCCGCGAGCCTCCTTCTCGTCCGCTACCCAGCGGATTATATCCGCTATCTGCAATTACATATTTAACTAATATTATAAAGAGGAAAGATTTCTATTTTTGTATATTGTAATAAAAAAACTACTGGACTGATTTTAAAAAATCATAGACCATTCAAAAGCTACGTAATCAGTGAGAGGCTATGTTTTTTTATTTTTTGATTTCACATGGACGAATTCGCGAGCAAGTTAGAATTAAGTAATTTACTTAAACTACACTTAGAGGGACTTAATTTTTACTAAGGGAGTCCCCTAGTGTAAGTTAAACATTAGAAATCTACATTAAGGATTAGATACCTTTAAAGTACTGAATATGGATTTTAATCAATAAAATAAAATGTTTACTTATAGCCTAAATAATTATTTACTTATAGCCTTACTATCTTCTTATAGCCTAACTAATTATCTTTTTATAGCCTAACTAATTATCTTTTTATAGCCTAACTCATTATTTTCTTATAGCCTAACTGAATATATGTTACCTGCGTCTCCCAATGCTGCATCGTGTCTCTCTTCGCTCGTAACTCCTCCAATTCCATCTCCATTTGTCTCCTCTCCGTCTGCCATCTTCTGCCGTTCTCTGCCATCTGTTATTTAAAATAAGCATGAGTAAAATTTACATGAAATTTGACCATAAAAATAATTTACGATGAGTATTACATTTTTAATTATAAGATTTTTTTTCGTTTACATTTGTCGACGGCCTTTGACATTTCATAACAATTACCATTACCATAGCAACCTTGTTTCCTTAATGTTGCCAGCTTATGATCCCTTTCCCACATAAGGGTTTTTATATTTACCTCCTAAGTTTAATAGCGTGAAAATATATAGCCTATAGTATGATGTAACTGTAGGACTTTTTATTGAACAAAGAGTTATTCGAAAATGTTGTGATTGCTGACATCTTAGGCAACAAAGTGTGTGTTTACGCTTTATTATATTAGTATACAGTATAGGAGGATGTTGTTGTCTATTAACAATAAGAGAAGAAAGGGTCGACCACATTTAAGATGGAGTGACGACGTAGCAAAGATTGCTGGACACTGCTGGACCAGACTGACATCGGACAGGACTACGTGGATGAATCTGGAGGAGGCTTTCACCGCTTTAGGCGGCCCTTACACAGAAGGTCAAGAGTGATACTAACCATACTAATATTAAAATATAAACATTTAAGTAATTCAACTAACAACACTAACATATCCTTAGATCTAGTTGTAAATATTTGAAAAATGTACAATAGTTTTTAGTTGTAATTAATAAATAAAAATATTGTTAATTGTAAACTGTGTGAAGGGAAAATAAAAGCTCTTAAAAATCTTTATCTTTATAGGTGGATGTTGCAAAGGTGAAGGTGTCTTTAAACCATGTTGTAACTCACAGCATCCAGGTCTTTGGCCAGCTTCCTGTTGTCGTTGATGAGCATCTGCTTGTCCTCGCTGTCGGAGAGCTGCTCCAGCCGCCGGCTCTCCAGCTTCTCTTTAGATGTTTGTAACTATATAAACAATACATTGGAATAATCTAACAATAAAAAAACGCTTCAAGATAAATTTCTTAGTTTCAGTATACTTTTTTTAAATTGATTTAATTATGTAATTATAATTGTAAAGTTGTTATATGTACTAATATAATAAAGAGGAAATATTCGGATTTTTGATTTTTTACATGTAATGAAATTATAACAAAACTACTGGGTCGATTTCAAAAAAATATTTACCATTAAAAAGCTACGTTATCACTGAGTCACGTAAGTTGTACTTTTTATTATATTTTTAATTTCAAGGGGACGTAGTCGCGACCAACAGCTAGTATACTACAGTTTTAAAACTCCAGACGAGACATATCGTCGGCATAATAACAAAGACCTACAAATCGACAAACTTATATAAAAGCAGTTTAAAATCGAATAACAGTACAACAGCGGATATTGGCGAGGAACGCCAATACAACGTTATAAAGTTTTACTACTGTGTGGACAGATTTTTTAAGCCGGTAAGAAAATAAATAAGGTCAGATCCGTCTTTGTTTAACAACGCCGTCGATACAAGTCTCATGTGAAGTTTTAATTCTATAGATACTAGCTGTTGACTGCGACTTGAAATTAATAATATTATTATTAACATAGAAATAATTAGTAGCACTACAAACTGATATTCAAAGTCTGTGTTAGACGAAATTTGCAATTCTGTCATCAAATTCCATTAAAGTTTGTACTATCCGGTATAAGTATCGTTGTTCGTCCAGTATAAGTAGAGCTGACCTCTCTATTGAGCACGTTCCTGACGGCGTCTCCCTCCTGCAGCTGGTCGCGCAGCGCCGCTAGCTCCGCGCTGTACCGCGCTTGTTGCTGCGCCAGGGACTCCTTGTACTGCAACTACACATTACAATAGGGTTATTATTTTATCTAACTAATCTAGCTAATATTATAAAAGCGAAAGTTTAGATGGATGGATGGATGGATGGATGGATAGATAGATGGATGGATGTTTGTTAGAGTTTGTAGCCTAAACGGCTGAATGGATTTCAATGAAATTTAGTATAGACGTAGAGGATAGTCCGGAAGAACATATAGGCTACTCACTTTTCTTTTTTTTTTAAATCCACGCGAACGGAGTCGCGAGCGAAAGCTAGTTATTACATAAAAATATGGTTACCTATTGCCTATATATAAAAATATAAATATTGCCATATAAAAAAACGTCATTTTTGGAAGATTGCAATAAATATTTCCGAGTTGCTCACATAACCACACAAGGATAATAATGACTGTGTATGCCCATTCATAAAAAATAGCAATGGCTTTTATTTAATATAATAAAGAGGAAGAATTTGGATTTTTGTACGTATTCAATCAACGTGAAAACTACTGGGCCGATATAAAAAACTCTTTCACCAGAAAGGTAATATATCTGGCAATAACATAGACTATATCTATATCAATACTAATATTATAAAGAGGAAAGATTTGTATTTTTGTATTCTTGTATGTATTGAAATAACTCAAAAACTACTGGGCCGATTTCATACATTCTTTCACCGTTAGAAAGGAAATTTCTCTGTGAGTAACATAGGCTATATTTTATTACTAGTAATGTTTAGGAACTATTAATAAACAGCGTGTTTCTGGATGCCAGGTTTAATATTTTATAATTTCAAGCGGAAGAATCCGCACGAAAACTTGTATTACTTGTAAATATTACCTCTAAAGCTTCAACATCAGCTTGCAGTCGGGCCACGTCGGCCGCGGGCCCGGTGGCAGCCGCCATGCCTTCCCGCTGCGACCTCAGCGTCTCCTCACGCAACTTGCGCTCCTATCACATACAAATAAGGTTCAAAATATGACGTGTACAATCTTCCTTCTCTTTCTAACACATTAAAATGTCTTGATGATTTTTTTAATACAGTATACTCTGAAATTAATTCTTCTAAGAGACTGTCCCACCAAATTGTAAATTGTCTGATAACAATCGAACGTGTAAAATATATGATGGAAATATCGGATTTTGTTCTTTTATCTGACAGTGACGTCATTAGGAAGGATCTATCAGCCAGTGGTGGGACTGGCCCTTAATATTCTACTTTTAACATATTAAAAATAAAACTGTGTTGCTGTATACAGGGTGTTTGATAATAATTAAAATCAATCCTAGCACTTAAGCTTTGAATATTAACAAACCTACATGCTTTAAACAATTTCATTCACATTTCTGGATATACTTTTTAATACCTAGTAATAAAAGCAATTTACAACTGCTTAAAGAACCAAGATGTATTATTTGTGTAACTATTCAAGTGATTTCCACAACATCCTGTATATCACGTATACAAAGAATATAAAAGAAGATAACCTTTGCGGCTTCTGCTATCGCGGCGTCAAGCCTGGCTTCTAGCTCCCTGCGTCCCTTGTCACTGCGCCTGATATCCTGACGCAGAAGGTCTATCTTCTGCATGGCCACCTCCAGCTCTTCCTCTTTGTCCCGCACCTATAGCATATACTACTTTAACACCGTTTATAATCTCACAGACATTTGAATACAATTTGAATTTGGTGACTTCGTCCCCGTGAAAACTTACTAATCTTACTAATATTATAAATGCGAAAGTTTAGATGGATGGATGTTTGTTAGAGTTTGTAGCCTAAACGTCTGAACAGATCTCGATGAAATTTGACACAGACGTAGAGGATAGTCTGGAAGAACACAGACTATTCACTTTTGGTTTTTTTAATTCCACGCGGGCGAAAGTTAATTTAAAAATATTACAAACATAGCCCGTTACTGATAACGTAACTTTATAATGGTGATAAAAATTTTGAATCCAGCTTAGTAGTTTTTGAGTGATTTCAATACATATAACAAAAATACAAATCTTTCCCCTTTATAACATTAAGTACAAGTTGTTCCCGTACGGCTTTATCCGCGTAAAATTATAAAAACTTTCTTTTATTGTTTACATTTGTACTTTCAATTGCAAATATCAAGATTCAAACGCACAAATGACAACAAAGCCTTTGACATTGGATAACAGTTAACGTTGCTATGGCAACCTTGCTTCCCTGATGTCAGCTTGTAGTTTACGGTCTTTTTCCCGTGTGAAGGTTTTTTTCAATTTATTTACCCTCTAAGTTTAATAGCGTGAAAATATATAGCCTAAAGCGTGACCTTAGGACTTTTTATTAAAAAAGAATTATTCAAAAATATGCTGTGATTGCTGGCATTTTACGCCACGAAGTAGTGTGTTTACGCTTTATTATATTAGTATAGATGTGGGAGGGGTAAAGTGGTACCTGTCGCGACAGCTTCTGCTTCTGTTGGCGAAGTTCAGCTAGACGTTCAGACACCTCATTGTACTCCGCCATCGCTAATTTGCATTGCGACAGCGCGTCCTTCAACTCCTTGTCCTGGAAATACATTCAATTAAATGTACAGTCGGGGAATCTGTCGGTGCCAGTTGTTTGAACGTTTTCTATTGAGGCGGAGTAATAAATATGACTTTTATAAATATGTGCACAAATCTTAGAGTTATGAAATCAATATTTTTCACGCTATTTTGTTTACATGTTTTAATAAACCAGGTCAGTTATTTTCGGGAATGTGTAAGGAAAAATGTAATTAAATAAAATACACGGAGTAACTAGTTTTTTTTAATCACGGTGGTATTGTGGTCTAAAATGTCACTGAATTTATGTGAAACCTCAAATATAGTAGAGAAAGTTATAACTTCTTTTCGTGATCCCGCTCTCCGTATTAAACAAATTCAGTACATGACTAGTTGGTTTTTATTATTATACCGTTGTTTGCGCAAATCACTACTATTTAATTGATTAGTTATTGGTTCATACTGTCACAAGAAACAATGTAATATTTCTGTAAGTGGGACATTGCTTATTTCCTTGACTGTACATAGAAAACAAATAATTTATGAATTATAGGTGCAAAGGATGCAAATTTAACAATCAACACTGTTATATGTGGAAAGAATATAGTTTCATATATTAGAAATAACTCAAGGATTTTTATATTTCTGGTTTGTTTATATTATTTACCTGCAATCTCAATTTTTCTAAAGCATCAGTCTTATCCTTCAGTAATTCTTCTTTCTCCGAATTTAATGAAGCAACTAATAATTCCAATTCTCTCGTACGCGTCGGTACATCTTGTGGGGAACTTGAATCCTGAAATATTAAAATGTTATTAATATAATAACAATACTAGCTTTTGCTCGCGACTTCGTCCGTGAAATTAAAAAATCTCGGCTTTATTTGTATAAAGCCGATGTTACTGACGGTTAAAACATTCTCACGGCGAAATAATTTTTAAAATGAGCTAATAGTTTTTACTTGAATATAGTACATACAAAAATACAAATCATTCCTGTTTATAATATTAGTAAAAATATTTTTTATCACATAGAAATATTGTAGCATCATATTTGTGAAACAATTTTTAAAATCGCTCAAGTATTTTTAAATGAACATACACAGTTTCTTCTACATAATATTAGTAATTACAGCAAACATGTTTCTCAAGTAAACATACACATTTTACAGTTTACATTAGTATTAGAGTACTCGTGTGACGTCATTGACTATCATGTTATAGTATACGGATAGTACTAATAAAATCTACATGTATATTTGTTACCACATTACTCAATAACGACTGAATATATCTGGATGAAATTTGGTATAGAGATAGATTACAGTCTGGAATAAGATATAGGCTACTTTTTTTTTATAATTTCTATGCAGACAAAATCGCAGGACAACTATATGTAAATATTACCGTAACAGTAACACCAGCGGTGAGTTCTTGACATCTCAGTTGTGCTTCTAAATCGCTATTCCTCTTGGATAATGTCGCTATTTCTTCTTTCAGTTGGAGCAATTCTTCTGAAATATTAATAAAAAAAATACTTTTACTGATAATAAAAAAGTGTTTATTTTATTCAAATAAAAACCAGCCAGGTGGAGGTAAGATAATTTGAGGAGAAATTCTAAATTATTTCGATTTTTAAATTATATTTGAAACTATAATCCTAAAGAAAAGTAAATTACACTGGGTATTCACTTATTTTAGGGTAAAATTAGTTACACTTTTGTTTTTAAATCGTATTTTAAATAAGAATTATAATATAAATAAATTATGTTAAATAATACCGTATAAACTACCGATATTGTCATTTTAGATCATTTTTAACGTGTTTCCACTGTACACAAATAATCGCGCGTGAACTCGCCAGTGGAAAAGAGGTTTAACATTAAACACTTACCACTGGCTGCATCCAGGCCTGTCCCGCCCGCTCTCAGCTCTGCTATAGTCTGAGCTAACAATGCGTTCTCTCTTTCTAACGCCTTTATCGCAGCGCGATCACCCGCGTTAGACGGCGCCTGCTGGAAATATTTACATTAAACCACATTTATTTGTATCTTACTAATATTATAAATGTGAAAGTTTAGATGGATGTTTGTTAGAGTTTGTAGACGAAACTGCCAAACGGTTCTTGATAAAATTTGTAAAATGTAGAGTATAATATGGAAGAAGTTATAGTTTATTAGTAAAAATAGTTACAGTTTCTGTGGGATATATTGTTTTTTCCATAATTTCTTAATTGTTATCTCATTAAAATTTGTCAAAAAATCAAAACAAAGTCTAGAGTAACTCATGGGATACATCAATGCGAAATATTTGATTTTTAAATACAATATTTACGACATTGGGAATAGCTTCATTACTATAGAAACATTTCCAATGTTAATTATAAGTCATTTCAAACGTCTTGGCAGCTCAAGGTCATCTATGTAATATCCTGTACATCTTTTTCATCTACTCAAAAATTTTTTTTATAATATAAGGTGGCGAACGAGCAAGTGGCCACCTGAATCCTGTTTTCTGTGTGATCGTGGTATTGATGGGGGCAAGCCGACCCTGCAGTGCGAAGATTTTAAAGCGGGCTCTATC